AACCTGAAGTTTCAGGAGGGAAAGAAACACACAGACACAATTTATCTTCGATCTCCTGGAAAATATGGGAAAATATGGGAAGTGGTGGGGAAGACAAAAACCAAGAAAATATACGAAAATATGGGGAATCGTTTTATTTGTGTGCATTTATTTGTGCGTCCCAGGGCCCCTTCAAAGTTCGAGGTCGCGCCCGAGGAGGCGTCGGCCTACGACAGCGCCGGCGACGGCCTGGCAGAGGTCGCCGTGAGGGAGGTCAAGGGCGTGGCACGGTCTCTGCGAGTCGCCCTGTCCTTGCTGCACGGCACAGACTTCCCGAATGACCATCCAGTGTTGACTTGGCTGGTTGCCCACGCTGCAGGATGCGCCAATCGTGGCGAGGTCGGCGCCGATGGGCGGACGCCGCACGAGAGGCACAAGGGTAAGGCCATTCGCAAGGTGCTGCCGCCTTTCGGAGAGATCATCGTGCTCCTCCCGAGTGCGAGGCGCGACGCCAAGTTCGAGGAGCGCTGGAAGATTGGAGTCTTCCTGGGCGTCATCGAGAAGTCGAGCGAGATGCTCGTCGGCCACGACGGCAGGGTCGTACGTGCGCGGTCTATCAGAAGGAAACCGCCGAGCCAGCGAGCCGACGCAGCCCTGTTGCTCTCGATCAGGGGCGCGCCGTGGATGCCGGCCCCGGACAAGCCAGAGAACGTCTGCATCCCGACGGTCATCGACGAACCTCCTGTCGACCCCGCTGCACAGCAGCCGAGGGTTGTACCAGAGCAGGTTCCAGCTGAACCTCGGAACGTATACATTCGCAGGAACGTGGAGCTGGCCAAGTACGGTTTCACAGGCGGATGCCCGGGCTGCCTTGCGGCCCGCGCCAACGCACCAGCCAAGGCCCACAGCTCGGAGTGCTGTGAGCGCATCCAGCAGGCCATGGCGAACGACCCGGAGCTCGCCCCCCGAGTCTTCGGAGCGGCGGCCCGTCAGCTGGAGGCTGCTGACAGGGCGCCCGTGCGCCAGGAGGGCGCGGGCTCCGGGGCACTGCCTCAGGCAGCCAACTCGGCCGAGGCGCCGATGGAGATTGAGCGACCTGGCCGACGAGCTGCTGAGCGTCGAGGCTCGCCCGCGGAGTTGCCGCAGGCATCGAGGCGCCGCCTCGCGGCGCCAGGCGGTCCAGCACCCCTCGCGCCCGCGATCAGCGGTGAGCAGCCGGGGGCGCCAGCGCAGGCGCCAGCCGCGCCGCAGGCGCAGGCTGCTGGGCCGAGCGGGCTTCTGCAGGCGCCGCCTGGAGCTCGGGGTGCCATGGGCGCGGACTCGCTGGAGCTCTGCGCGCTGCTGGCAGCTTTCGGCGACTGGAGGGTGGCCGTCAGCGAGCTGCACGGACCAGGTCGTTTCACGTCTCGGTCGAGTGCGTTCGATCTCGAGCCCGGCGCAGCCTACGACATCAGGACTGGCTACGATGTCAGCCAGGAGGGCGACAGGCAGCGGGCGCAGGCCACTATCGAGCTGGAGCAGCCACTGCTGATCACCGGCAGCCCGACGTGTGCGCCGTGGTCGAACCTGCAGGCCCTCAACGTCGTCCAGGGTGTGGGCGTCAACGCCATCATGGAGCGAGGCGTCGTCCACCTGGTCTTCCGTGCCGAGCGCTACAAGGAGCAGATCAAAGCTGGCCGCCTCTTCTTGCGCGAGCAGCCAACATTATCGAGGAGTTGGCGTCTCTGGATGATCCGCGAGATCGCCGAGATGCCAGGAGTGCACTACGTTGAGTGCGATCAATGTGCGTATGGGTTGTGGTGCACTGATGCCATCGGCCCGGCGCCGGTCAAGAAACCTACGGGGTTTTTGACCAACTCTGCCGAGATAGCCCGGGAGCTGACGCGTCGGTGTCCTGGGTGTGCTAGGCATTGCCAGACGGTCAGTCTAGGTCGGCGTGGCATGCGCATCATCGAGCGGTACCCGCCGAAACTTGTGGCTGCGGTGCTGCGTGGGCTGCGTCGTGAGGCGATCGCTCGCGGCCGGCTGGGTGCGCTGGAGGCTGGGCCGCACCTGGGCGAGCCGCCGGTCTGGGGCGCCTACCCAGAGTACTACGCGGAGATCGTCGACAACATCAGCGGGGCCGCTCTGGACCCCGAGCTCGTGGCAGCTGGCCGCAAGGAGGATCTGGAGTTTCTGCGCGGCCTGGGCGCCTACGTGCACGACACCAAGCAGCGCTGCCGCGAGGAGACCGGGCGCGACCCGGCGCCCATGATCTGGGTGGGCGTCAACAAGGGTTACGACCGCAATCCCAACGTCCGCTGCAGGCTGTGCGTGGCAGAGACGCGCTACCGCACGAGCATGGACCTGGGGGGCCCTTCGCAGACGTTCAGTGCGACACCCCCGTATGAGGCTCTCAGGATGTTGATTTCTTTCTGCTGCTCGCCCAGGAACGCCGAGGAGGATCAGCACGTCCTCATGTTCCTGGGCATCACGAGGGCTCACCCGCACTGCGAGATGAAGCGGAAGTTGCGGGTGGAGCTGCTGCCGGAGGACCCCCGCTCAGCTGACCCCAACGTGCGCGGGCTGCTGGTCAGGTGCCTCTACGGCTGCCGCGGCGCAGGCCAGATTTCGAGCTGTTGGTCCGTGAAGCGCTGGAGGGCAAGATGGGCTTCTCCTGTGGCGTGTGGCGTCCCTGCATATGCCGCAGAGGCAACGGCAAGCTCGTGGCCACGTCTACGGCGACAACTTTGTCGAAGGGCTCCCGCGCCGACGACCTGGAGTTCTACCGCGAGCTGCAGAAGTGCATGCGGGTCAAGCTCGAGGGCATGTTGGGACCCAACAAGAGCGCTGGTGATGTTCAGGAGGTGATCTGCCTGAACCGCGTCTTCCGTTGGACCTCGAGAGGTGGCGTGGAGCTCGAGGCGGACTCTCGCCATGCGCTCATCATGATGCATCAGCTGAACCTCTGGCGCGGGTCGAAGGCCCTCTCGACGCCAGGAGTGAAGGCCAAGAGCGCGGATCGCGGCAGAGTCCTGGAGGGCGAGGAGGCGACTCGCTACCGCAGCCTGGTCATGCGAGCCAGCTATCTCAGCGAGGACCGCCCGGACATCAAGCACGCAGTCAAAGAAGCAGCGAAGTGCATGCACGAGCCGTGCGAGCACGGCATGGAGCTAGTCAAGAGGATTGCCAGGTATCTCCTGGGCCGTCCTAGACTGGTTCAGAGGTTCCGACTCCAGCGCTGGTCAGGTGTGCTCAAGGGCTTCTCGGACAGTGACTTCGCGGGCTGCCTGGGGACCAGGAAGAGCACGAGCTGCGGAGTCTTCCAGCTGGGAGATCACATGATCAAAGTCTTCAGCGCGACTCAGGGCAGTGAGGCTCTCAGCTCAGGTGAGGCCGAGTGGTATGCTCTAGTGCGCGCTGCGTCCTGTGGGATCGGTCTGGTCTCGCTGGCGCGTGACATGGGATACGAGCTGGAGTTGCGTTTGGCTGGGCACTCTACGGCGGCCAGTGGGATAGCGCATCGCCGAGGGGCGGGGCGCATCCGACACATCGAGACAAAGACTCTGTGGCTCCAGCGCCATGTGACCGAGCGTCGTGTCATCCTTTCTAAGACGCTCGGCAAGGTCAATGTGGCAGATCTCGGCACGAAGCATCTGGCGCAAAGAGAGCTAGATGAGATGCTGGGGCTGCTGGGATTTTTCGCGGCTGCGGGCAAGTCTGACCTCTGTCTCGCGGTCGCAGGCAACTTGCTTGACCTAGCTTGCGAGCCCGAGGCAAAGAGGAGGTGCAGGCGTGACTTTCGTCGGATGTCGCCCGAGTCATGGCGAGTGTTTTCGTGTGTGCAGGCATGCTTTCTGTGAGGTTGCATGTGGCGAGGCGAGCGATTTTTTCTTTTTCAGCTTCGCTGGAGCAGCCGGGAGATCGCCTGGGTCGAGACTCGAGGGAGCTCGACGCGGCGGCGAGGGGGGCTGATCGGGTAGTTCTCGGATATGCATGCCGTAACGTCTATTGTTACCATTGCCATATCTTACTCAAGCTGAGAAGCGGACGTACCGTATATCAGATGGTGCTGGTGCTGATGGTGATGTTGATGCTGTTGCGGGGAGGATGGGGGGGATGATGCTGCTGCTGCTGCAGATGATGATGCTGCTGGTTGTAATAATTGTGGTTATGCGGATGGGACAAAGGATTCGGATCATGAACATGGTGATGCTGATGATGATGCTGCTGATACTGCTGATGATGCTGCTGATGATGCGGGTGATATTGTTTGTGGTGGTGCTGATGCTGCTGATGATGATGAGGATGATGATGATGATGGTGATGCTGATGGCGATGATGATGCTGATGGTGATGACGGTGCTGATGGTGGTGGTGGTGTTGTTTTTGTTGTTGATGATGTTGTTGTTGGTGATGATAGTGACGATGATGATGCTGATGTTGTTGATGATGATGATGCATCTGCTGCTGATGATGCTGGTTATGCGGATGATGGTGATGTTGTTGATGATGATGCTGATGAGGATGATGATGGTGGTGATGGTGATCATGGTGGTGATGATGCTGTTGATGGCGTTGATGATGCTGAATGTGGTGGTGGTTATGGTGATGATGTTGTTGGTGATGATGATGGTGATGGTTATAATGCTAATGATGATGACGATGATGATGATGATGATGATGATGCTGATGCTGATGATGATGCTGATGATGATGAGGAGGAGGAGGAGGTGGAGGAGGAGGATAATGAGAAGGAGGAGGAGGATGAGAAGGAGGAGGAAGAGGAGGAGGAGGGGGAGGATCAGGAGGAGGAGGAGGAGGAGGAGGATCAGGAGGAGGAAGGAGGATCAGGAGGAGGAGGATCAGGAGGAGGAGGAGGCATAGGAGGAGGAGGAGGAGGAGAGGAGGAGGAGGAGGAAAAGGAGGAGGAGGAGGAGGAGGAGGAGGAGGAGCAGACGTCGGACGAGGAGGTCGAGGCGGAGGCAGAGGCGGAGGCGGAGGAACGATCCCCCGCCCCCGTCCTCCCCGCCTCCGTGGAGGTCGGCGCCGTTGAAAGAGGTGCCGAGCAAGTCGAGCGGCGGCTCCTCGGCGGCAAGCCCCGAGAGGCACTCCTTCCGGAGCGTGGGGTCCTCCGCCGCCCTCGAGAGGCAGCCCTTCCAGAGCTCACGGGTGGCGAACCTATCCGTATCCGCGCCTTCGCGGTCTTGGTTCTGAGGCGCGATCTCGTGGATACGCGGTCGCACGGATAGTATTACTTTGCGTGGTTACGGCCCAGGGGCGCCGCCCGTGAGGTCGTGGATACGGATGTTTTTTGCGCCCACGAGGAGCGTGGCGTCCTCCGCCGCCGTATCGCGGCTGTCCTGTTCGCGGCCGTCGTCCGCCGTGGGGCGCCTGCAGTCCTCCGCCCCCGTGGCGCGCCTGCGCGACGCCGGCGGGCGCCTGCGCGACTCCAGCAGGAGCTGGCCCCGGGAAGGGGAGGGGCCCTGACAGCCTCTCGTTCACGAGCTGACAAGTAGCACCCATGCGGATTTCTCGGGGTGGAATTCCAGGCGGGGCGCTGAGGGTGTGGATTGTCGGATGGGTCCCCGCTCGAAAGGGAGCCCCTTTCGGGCTCCGACAAGTCGCGCCCATGCCTATAGCGCCTTCATCGCCTTGCCCTTCCCCATTCCTCCTCCCTGTAGGTTGGAACGTGCAGTAGGGCGTGGCAGTTCCCAGATCCGCCCCTAGACCCCCCCGTGTGTAGGGGGGCCCTCCAACCACGTGCATCAGGGAGCGTAGCATAAGCATCAGCAGCATGTGTGGTTAGAGCATGTGTTTCCCAGGCCAAGGGGCCCAGGTGACCGGAAAACGATTCCCGCAGTTCCCGGACCAAGTGGCCCAGGTGACGGGAACACGGTTCCCGCATTTCGGTCGCCGGCGACCGTTATGGTTGCCACGTAGATTTCTTGATGTGACGTGCGGTGCGTGAGGCATAGTATAGTCGCTTTCCACATGGTAGTCTGGAGGCCACATGCCATGCATGGCAACGTGCGATGCGATATTGCGCCGCCTCCGCCCCCGCGCAAGCTTACAACGATACGCCGCAAACCTCGGCCGACCACATCCGATCGCGACCTACGGGGCCATTGGATTGGCGTTGCTATCTTCGGTCTCCTACGGGTTGCTATCGGGTGCGCTGTGGGGCGCGTGCGTGGCGGAGACGACGCAGGGGCAACTGGCCCCCGTTGGGGCCCGCCGGTCAAGCACCTTTCCGCGAATTCGCTCGAGAGGTACATGCCTGGATCAACGTGACCACAGGCAATATGACGCCCTCCCAACAATCTGCAGCATTGCAGCGTGGTCTGGGAGGCCTCGCACGGGCCATGGCCATGAGAGTTCCCCCAGCAGTCATCAATTTTGGTGTCAACATAGGTGGCCGCTATACTGATGGTGCCACCTACATTATGTTCCTCCTGAGCACGAAGTTTGAGAACATACCCAACTCGGCACTGCCCTCATCGACTGTCGAGTCCATGCGGGAGAGCGGGTCGACCAGACATTGGCGCGCTTCGAGATAGCCCGTTGCGAGGTTGAATCGGCAGGCTTTAACGTCCCCAACTTCCAAATTCTAAGGGTTATTCGGTTCAGAGCCTTAGCGGTGGGGGCGTCGCGTGCACAACAACTTCTACAGCCACTTATCAACCGCATGCCGAGGGCCTGCAGCAATTTGACTCTCTGCTTGAACGCATGAGGTCACGTGCTTACATCGCTGAGCGAACTCCTGGCAATCTTGGTGGCATCTTCAGCCACGGTCCTCGTGCCGAAACCTTACACGCTGAAGCCAATGCAGGGCAACCTGCTACGAGCGTCTGGGACGACGACCCACATCCAACGGAAACCACCGCGCTATTAGCTCAAAGTGGTGGTTCGGCCGCGGGGTCGCAAGACTCCTGGGCCGGGTATCAGGGGCCGCTGGCAACGGCGGCTCCTGCGCAAGCCACTACCCTTTTAGGCTCAACGGGGCAATCCGCAGAGTCCGACTTCGACCCTGGAACCGACGCCGACGCGTCATCCGACGACGAAGCGAACGCCCTAGATTACTCCGACATGCCCGCGTATCTTACGGAAGAACAACAGGCCCAATGGCTGTTTCGAGGATACAAGAAACATAAACGTAGATGGAGACGATTTATGAAGAAGCCAGTTCGTAAGGCACGACGTACTATCCGACGGGCACTTAGGGGAAGGGGTGGGGGTCGAGGCAAGGGTAAGGGCAAACGACGGCGACTGCATGGCAGAGGTATGTAGCTTCCCCGGCATCTTCACCGAACCGCAATATGAATAACTATTCCTGGGTGCAGGCAGAAATCGTAGGCACACTTCAGGAAAGGGTAAGGGACGTTGGGGCAACCCGAAAGACGCGAACGGCAAAACAATGGAATGATACATTTGCCATAGCACACGACATTTTCACCGTGGGTGTCCTCGGGGCGATGGGGGGGGGGGGGGGGGGGGGCAGATGTCCGTCGATGCATTTGGCTCAAACCGACTAGGACATGCAGTGTGTCGATTGGGAAACGCGATTGGCCCACTCTGCCGACAGTTCAGTCGCAGTTGTTAACTTCATGGCTGCCAGATTTTGAGTGCTTGTATGTCCCTCGAGAATCGCGCCGGATGGCTCATCGAGGAGATATTCGCTGGCCACAATGAGATCAATCTGGCCGGCTGGTTAGGCGTGCCCATCGCGGGTCAACCTGCGCGTGTCGAATTTGTCGAGAATTTCCATTTACCCGCCGAAAGAGATCAATTTATGGCGGGGGCACCTGCGGATTCAGAAGCTACAATTCCTGCGACAGACGAGGAACTACACATGATGCCTTATCCTCGGGTAGTTGGGAATCCGGCAAACATGGAGGTGTATGATGATGATCCTTTTCGGGGGAACCCGCGAGGCGCCGCCGATTTGTAGCGCGTTCAGTGCGAACTTTGACACAACGAAGAACATCAGTTTACATTCGTGGCCATGGGGCTGTCCCCGAGCCGCCAGGGGCGATCAACGAGCCGTCGAGTCTGGAGACGCGCGAACCGCTCGGGCGATGATGACGACGAGTGGGAAGCTGGAGGCCAGCGTCTGCTACGCCGTGGTCGTGTCCGCAGTTATTCGCGCGGACATTCGCGCGCGCGTTCCAGCGGCGCTTGCTCTAGCGGCAATCAGCGCCCTCGCCCTCCTGGCACGAGGGCCCCGCGGGCCCCGCCAAGGAGGGGCGCCAGACCTGACGCTCCACCGAGGAGGGGTCGCCTGCGGGGAAGACCGCCCAAGAGGGGGGCCATCCAGGAGAGTATCCAGAGGGCGAGGTAAAGCGCCATGTCGACTGCAATGCTCATGGGTTAGCTCGCCAGCACATGCTCCCCGATGCAATGCAATGCTGGCTGGGCCAAGGTTGGTCCGAGCACAGAAGTCGCCATTGGTATGTTCTGCGCAATGTTGAGCGAGATGAAAAAGGCAAGATCTTTCGTTCCCGCAGGGGGGGGGGGGGCGTCAATCCACAGGAGTCTCTTCAAAAGCGGGACTTCAAGAGGGCCGTCATCGCAGAACGGAAGACTTGCCGACGATTTGTCTGTATGTGCTTCGATTATGCCGACCTCTGACTCGGCTGCCCCACGAGGCGTCCATCAAGGAGTTTTAAGTTCGGAAAAAAAAAAACACCATGGGTTTGGTCTCGCGGTGACGGTCGGGGTCGCTTTGCAGATCCGAACGAATGCCCGCGCGAAGAGCCGTTAACGAGAATGGAATGTCAGCCAGTCGAAGACCATGAAAGGGTTCGTGCCGAAGAGATGGGACAATCTTGCACCTCATCATTACCCGATGGTATTCAATCGTGAGTTGCATGCGGGGGGGGGGGGGGGGGGCCTCGTCCAAATAAGAAGATGCCGATCAGCCAGAAGGTGATGAAGCTGAAGGTAACCGGGCCCTTGCTGAGGCAGTAGACCCCGTGGCAGAGGCCCCTTCAGGGCCCGACTCGGACTGCTCCGGCTCGGACCTCGCCTCTGTCGCGGGCCGGACTCATGATGTCGATGCAGATATTGAACTTGGCGACAGGATTACAGAAACTATGAATCTCGAGCGCGGCAGGAGAGTCGTTTACCGCGAACTCAGGGTCGGTTTGATAGACACCCTTATTGTAAGAAGGATATGCGCTGATTTTATGATTTGGGTTGCAATTGAAAGGCCAGTATCAAGAACATGGCACTCAATGGGCCTGGTTAATTGGAGGGCCTGAACCCTGGCAGAGGGCCCATGCGTTTTCAGGCGTGCGCACCCGCAGGGGCAACGCCAGAGGTATTCCTCCCAAGTCGAAGACAGGTCAACCCATAGATCTATCTCCATCATAGAATTCATCAAGCCAGCTCAAGTCGCTCGGACCTGATCAACTTGCGCCACCGCCTAAACATAAGAGGAATAGCCCAGGTGATCCACATCCTGGTAGCAGCAAGCATCAGCGATCCGCGGGGAAACCTGCTGAGGGACATCGATCCAGGGGGCCTGCAGCGGCCGCCGCAGCAGCGGCATTCCAGGGCGCCAGCACGCCTGCTCCAAAGGAGCCCGTGGCCCGTCGTGGCCCTGCACCTGGCCGGGCGCACGGGGCAGGCTGGTCGCCAACGCTGGAGGGATCATCAAGGGGCGCTTCTTCATCAGAGGACGGTGCCAAACGTAAGAGGTAGGGCATCAGGGACAGCTCCCAAGATCAGTAAATGCGAATACTACGACAGTCGTGTAGAAGGACGGCAGGACTGCGACATTCGCACGTCTCGAATTCCTAAGGAGTCTGCAGGCGACAGTTCGTCAGCAGCGCCTGCAGCAGTCGAGCCGGCAGGAAGGCCTGGCGAGCCGGATGCAGCTCCTGCGGGGCAACCCGCTGTTGCTTTCGAAATGCCAGAGGAATGCTGGCATTTTGGGAACAGCTACGCACTGCAAGTCGAACGAACATCAACCCAGCGCATCCGCCTTTTAGCGATGACGGGTCTGATCGATACTGTGGTGCAGTGTGACATCAGGGATGCTGCCGTATTTTCTGATGATGCAGCTCGCGCGCGCCAGTTTTTTTCACGCAGCGTCTTGCGGAAAGAGCCCGCTCTCGGCTACGCTTCCGAGAAGAAGTATTTGAGGAAGATCTTCAAGGAGCCGGAAGGTGTCGCAGCAGCACTAAATTCCGAGGAACAGCGCCACTGTTCAGAGTGGCTCGCCACAGCTACTCGTCACAAGCCGTTTCATCGCAACCATATTTTTGGCAGGATCGTGCCATCGGTATCTTCCCTCGACGAGTGCGACGGCTGGGTGGAGCTCTCGGAGCTGCTCAACAGCCGGCCGCCCAAAGGCTGCGATCACTTGCACAAGCACCATCTGGAGACTTCCCAGCGGCGCCTCAGCAACCGCCATTGGGCATATCAGGCATTGGCGGTGCTGGATTGGATTGGT